TAGCCGGCCACCCCTACTATTGTTTCTTAGATGGATTGTCGGGATACTACCAAATCTCGATTGCCCCGGAGGATCAACTGAAGACCACCTTCACATGCCCTTTTGGCACTTTTGCCTTCCGGAGGATGCCCTTTGGACTTTGCAATGCTCCCGCCACTTTTCAAAGGTGCATGTTTTCTATCTTTTCGGATATGATTGGTGAATTCATTGAAATATTTATGGATGATTTTTCCGTGTTTGGTGATTCATTTCGTGATTGTCTTAACAAGTTGAGCAAAGTGTTGAGTAGATGCATTGAGAATAATTTGACACTTAGTTGGGAAAAATCGCATTTTATGGTTCCTAGTGGTAATGTGCTTGGTCATGTCATCTCATCTAAGGGAATTGAAGTCGATAAACCTAAAGTTGATGTGATTGAGCAACTTCCACCACCTTTGAATGTTAAAGGAATTCGGAGTTTTCTCGGGCATGCCTGTTTTTACCGGAGGTTTATCAAAGATTTTTCAAAAATTGCCCGGCCTTTGTGTGCTTTGCTTGCTCTTGATGTCCCTTTTGAGTTCAATGATGAATGTATGAATGCTTTCAATGAATTGAAGCATAGGTTAGTCACGGCACCCATTGTGATGCCCCCAAATTGGTCCATACCTTTCGAAATTATGTGTGATGCTTCAAACTATGCGGTAGGGGCCGTTTTGGGGCAAAAGGTTGACAAACGTCACCACGTGATTGCCTATGCTAGCATGACTCTCAATGACGCTCAAATTAATTACACCACTACCGAAAAGGAGTTCTTAGCTATTGTTTTTGCATTGGAAAAATTTCGTGCCTATGTTGTCGGTTATAAGATTATCATATATAGTGACCATGCGACATTGAGACATTTGTTAGCTAAAGCTAAATCTAAACCTAGGTTGATTCGTTGGGTGTTATTATTGCAAGAATTTGATGTGGAAATCTTGGATAGGAAAGGGTGTGAGAATGTAGTTGCCGATCATTTATCTCGCCTTACATTGCTTTCGAGTTCTTGTGATTTGCCCAATCTTGATGATTCGTTTCCTTACGAGCATGCTTTTCTTGTTGATCGTGTGCCTTGGTATGCCGATATTGCAAATTACTTGGCTTGTGGTATTTTGAATAATGACTTATCCTTCCAAGAAAGGAAGAGATTTATTTCAAAGTGTAGGTACTTTCTTTGGGAGGACCCGTACCTTTTCCATCTCGGAAAGGACGAGGTCATTAGGCGGTGTGTACCCGATAAGGAACAACACGATATCTTGACCGCTTGCCACTCGTCCAATTGTGGAGGCCATTTCGGAGTCCGGAAAACGACATTTAAGGTGCTTCAAAGTGGATTCTATTGGCCCACGATCTTCAAGGATGCCCACGTCTTCTCGATTTCATGTGATCGTTGCCAACGTTCGGGAAATATCGGGAGGAGGAATGAGATGCCCCTTAACACCTTTCTTCCGGTCGAGATCTTTGACGTGTGGGGGATTGACTTCACGGGACCCTTTCCGAGTTCCCATGGCTTTGAGTATATCTTAGTTGGCGTGGAGTATGTCTCGAAGTGGGTTGAAGCCATTCCGGCTAGAACTTGTGACGCCAAGGTCGTGGTGAAATTCGTGCAAGACCACATCATCAACCGTTTCGGTTTCCCTCGAGCTATCATTAGTGATGGAGGTTCTCATTTTTGCAACCGGATTTTCAAGAAGCTTATGGAGAAAAATGGGATCGCCCACAAGGTTGCTACGCCTTATCATCCTCAAACCTCTGGGCAAGTCGAAACGAGTAACAAGCAAATTAAGGCTATTCTCGAACGAACCGTGAATTCCTCTAGACGTGATTGGTCCCAAAAGCTCGGAGATGCATTGTGGGCACATCGCACGGCCTACAAGGGTGTTCTAGGTATGAGTCCTTTTCGTTTGATTTATGGAAAAGCTTGCCACTTGCCGGTGGAAGTCGAACACAAGGCTTATTGGGCTATCCGTACCATTAATTTCGAGCTCGGCTTAGCCGGGAAGGAGAGGCATTTGCAAATTGATGAATTGGATGAGTTTAGAAACGAGGCGTATGAGAGTGCCCGGATTTACAAGGATAAAGTCAAGAGGTGGCATGATTCAAAAATCCTAAGGAAGGAGCTCAAAACCGGGATGAAGGTACTTCTTTTT